CTGTAGCCCTTTATATGTTTATTCTTTTGAGAGACTTGGTTCATCATTGGTATTCTGTGAGAGCATCTTCAAAGAGGTCATATCTGGATCAGTTCTCCACGCTTGTCTTCTATTGTATTTTGTGTATACTTAGAATTTTATTTTATATTTAAATAATTGGTCTATATTCCTGCCTTTCTTGGTGAGGCTATAGGCTCTTGATGGAACTTATAAGGACAAGGATTATATCAGATATTTGAGTTCTTTGAACTGAACTCTTCATAGCCTTCATCGTTGTCAGCTCAGCCCCCCCAAAAATTCAGATCAAATATTTTTGTGAATATCCTACATCATAGCTAAGGCTGGCAGCTATCACAAACACTATTTCCCTCTTTTTCAAGAGTAATAAAAATCTTAGGCAGGCATAAAACAACCCAGTAAATACTGTATTTCCCAGATTCCCTTGTAGCTAGATGTGGTCTTGTGATGACATTCTGGCCAATGGGTTGTGAGCAAAGTGTTGAGTGTCACTTCCAGTTGGTGTCAGAAAAGAGAAGGAGAATGCCTTCCTCCCTCCACATCTTGCATCTTGGATCATGGATATAGTGATGAACCACTGCCACTCTTAAAGACAAAGGCCCCTCTCTAGGCATGGTAGAAAAAACAGCTAAAAGGATCCTGGGACCTGACAACACAGTCATCACAACATCGCTGGACTGCTCACCTCTAAACCAGGTAATTCTGTGAGGGGGAAACAAAATTTCTAATTAAAATCATGGAATAACCACTTTGGTGTGTGCTGTATATAAAAATATTTATTCCAAGAAAATGGCCAGTGTTGTTTTCTTATTTATCATACCTTACAAATGCTCTTGGCACAAAATAATAAGTTTAATATCTAAATAACCATAATAAGTCAGTAGCTGGTATATGAAATCATCAGGATCTCTTTTTATAAACTATCAAATTACTAGTATTTTAAGTGTTCAGGGGCGCCTGGGTGGCTCAGTCGGTTAAGCATCCGACTTCGGCTCGGGTCATGATCTCACGGTTCATAGGTTTGAGCTCCACGTCGGGCTCTGTGTTGACAGCTAGCACAGAGCCTGGAGCCTGTCTTCGGAATCAATTCTGTAACTCTCTCTCTCTTTCTCTCTCTCTCTCTGACCCTCCCCTGGTCACACTGTCTCTATCTCTCTCTCAAAAATAAATAAAACATTTAAAAAAATATTTTAAAAAGTCTTCAATTGTGAAATGAGAGAAAAACCTCCCCTTTAGCATTCATCATTTCCACAGCCGGTCTGTCTACCACGTAAATATCCATCGGTCCAACTCCCAAATGGCTGAAGTCAAATGTTCTAGTTCCTGTCCTTCCATTGCACTGAGGTCATTCAAGTGTGGTCACCTTCCTACCCTCAATGAAACTCACAGATCACATGCTGAACTCTGACCAAATGGAATGAGAACAAGTTGTAGTTTCTCTCATAGTCACCTCCTTCACTCTTCTCTCATTATTTTATGCTCCTCCCCTTATTCCTTAATTCTGTTTCCCACACATCAATTATATCCTGCCACCCACCACCAACATTGCCTTGTTGCAGAAAGACTTGCTCACAATATCCCCAAAAAGCGTTTATATCCCCAACCAATTCTGTGACCCTTTCTCACCCAGGACACTTCCCATGTAGAGTGGTTCCACTTATAGGTCCTCAAGAGCCTGGCACAGTGCCAGCCATGTGGGCTGAGATAGGTTGAGCCCTCAAGCACCAGGAGGATCCTACCCTGAGATAATAAGCATTTGTGAAGATGACAGGCATGTTTGATAAAAAAGCCTTTCAAGAGAGCAGAAAGTCAAAGTCTTTGAGCATCTGAGGTAATATCATAAAAGAGCTAAAAAAAAAAAAGAATGAAAACAAGTCAAATTGAAGTTGGAAGTTACATATTTCAGACCATTTCAGGTTGCTGGCTGGAATGTAATCAAACCTATAATTTGTTGTTTTTGGGTTTGAACCTAAGAGAGAACTTACTTACTCCTGGCACACTGCTATTATCAGTCTGGGCAAGGGCTCCCTTCATTCCCACCCATGTCCCGCTCTCCATCAAAAGGACTCTCCCTAGTGTATAAACAGTACACATCCTTAAATATGTTTATATTTAAGTATGATTTTGTATATGTATTTGTAATTTATAAATTAGTAATTATAGTTTTATACTATTTCACATATAGTAATTATGTGGAAGAACTTCCACATGATTTAGGTAAGATACCCATTCTCCTGACTTTTACAGCTTCATTGTCAACAGCAAGTAGGTCCAAAGGAAGACAGCACCCTGTGCTCCAGGAATGAAGAGGAATTCCCAGAGCTCTGTGCATCTGGGAAGATTCCCACTCCTTACCTTACCACATTCACCAGAATCTGCCTGTAGATAGACCAACAGAGCTAATACCAAATACTTGTGGGTTTTTTTTCTGGCCCATATACCATGCCCCACTAGGCTTGGAGGTAGCTAAGAATGTTTATATCAAGAACTGTAACAGACTAAGGGGCATGTAAGTGGCTCAGTTGGTTGAGCATCTGATTTTGGCTCAGGTCATGATCTCATAGTTCATGAGTTCAAGCCCCATATCAGGCTCTTTGCTGTCAGTGCAGAGCCTGCTTCAAATTCCCTGCCCACATCCTCAAAAATAAATCAACTAAAAAAAAAAGAAAGAATTGTAACGGACTGAGATTTTACCCCACTTGCAAGCTAAAAGTTACCTTGGCATAATTTCATGGATATTGGCAGAAGACACGAGACTCCCAGGTCAGGGACAAAGAAGAGTTTATTATTCACAGCAATAGCAACTGCCAGTGTATCACTGGTTTTTTTTAATGCCAGTTTGCCAAAGACCACTTCCTGCAGGGTGACCCAGAGAGTCAGGTATACCTGTACACATGGGGGTGCATTACAGGAGAGGAGTCCTGAGCTTAGGGAACACAACTCTTTTAAAATGGATAATAAGCCCACCTGATCTTTGCCATAGAGGGAGACATTATTTTTATTATAATGAACAGTAAACAAACATGCCTTTTATTATCTATCATCCAAAGCTGTTCACTATACAAACATCCTTTTAAAGATAGAACAAAGGCAGTCCACTCATGAGATATGCAAAATTTAAGAGAACCCTTGGGGATTGTCTCCCAAGCTCCTTCTATAGAATTTCCTTCTCTCTTTCTCAAATACCCCTCTATGAAGCTTATAATATCAAATAACCCTTTCTTATTGCAATCATTTATAAACCTTATGTTTCTCTCATTTTCTGAAGATTTCTGAAGAAATCAGTATTGATGATCTTTTACTACCATAGCCTTTTGGTTCCATGACTTCTCCTTCAATAATCTTAACCTCTATTTTCTGATGATTTCTGAAGTTGAATATCACTTCATATGTTAGTTATCAGTTTTTCACTTATGTGAATTCCATGTTCATATCCTTTACCGATTTTTCTCTTGGGTTTACCATTTTCTTATAATTAACAAAATGTCTTGTTTATTGTAGATATTTATCCCTTGTTGACTTTAGTTATTTCACATATCCTTTCCAATCTAATCTGTATATGAACTTTCCTTATTATGTCTTTTGACGAAGCAAAGCCTTTAATTTTAATGTCTTTTCCATCCATTTCTTTTTTATCTCAGAGTTTCTGTTTTCTGGAGTTAGTTTAAGAAGTTCTCCCACACCCCAAAGTCAGAAAAATAATTTATGGTTCTCTTTTTTCTTTTATATTAGTTTTTCAGATTTACATTTGCCATTTAGGACTTTAATTCAATGAAATTTCACTCTCCCAAAGGACATAAACATATATAATTTAATACCACAAATATATATACAGATATATAATATATATACAAATATATATCTGTATATATATTATATATACAAATATTATCAAATATTCTGTATATATACATTATATATAATAAATTATATATAATATATATATTATATATAAGATAATATATATCTTATATATTTTATAAGATATATAAATATCTTATTTTATATATAAGATATTTGTGGTATTAAAATGTCATTGGAAAAGATGGATAATTGGGGGGGAAAGTCCAACTAATTTTCTTAAGTAGACAACAATGAAAAAAGGGTTGAGAAACACTGCTATAGGCTAAGAATACAGCATTACTTTTCTCCATAAAATGATGCCTTCCCAATGTCATTTATTAAATGCTTTATCAATCCTTTCTCCACCTGCACATATCAGCTATTTAAAACCTGAGCACCCCCAAGCCCTTTTCAAAATTGCTTTAATTACTCCTAACATGCTTAGTCTTCTTCTACATGGCAGAATAATTGTGTTGAATTCATTTTTTTACAAGTCCTACTGGGGTGCCCCTGGATGACTCAGTAGGTTGCATGTCCAGCTCTTGATTTTGGTTCAGGTCATGATCCCAGGGTAATGGGATTGAGTCCCACATCAGGCTCTGCACTGAGCATGGAGCCTGCTTGAGATTCTCTCTCCTCCCTCTGTTCCTCTCCCCTGCTCATGCATGCGCGCTCTCTCTCTCAAAAAAAATAAAACAAAAAAATAAAATATAAAAAATTCCAGTCCTACTGGGATTTCATTGGGATTGAATTGAATTCACACATTAATTTTGGAGAACTGACATTTTACACTGATGGCATCCATTCCATGAGCATGGTGTAGCACTCCATCTATTTAAGGCCTTTATGTCCTTAATAAATTTAAAACTTTTTCTCCTTAGAGATCATATACATTGTTTATTAGGTTAAATTCATAGTTTATAGTTTTAATTGTTATTAGGAATGGCATCACAGAATCTGTTACATTTTTAGTTAGTGATTACTAATGCAGAGGAACGCTACTGATTTTTGTAAATATATCTTATATCTGACATTCTTATGAAATTTCTTATGAGATCTATAGCCTTTCTGTTGACTTGTTTGGGATTAACCCCTCAGGAAAAAAAAACAAAAAACAAAAAAAAACAGTGAGAAAGGAGATACTATGGCAGGGGAGATACCATGATCATGAACGTAGTTTTCCCAGGGTGAGGCTTGTTCATTATACCCCAGGTGTCCTGACCTCTGGGACTTCCCCAAATGAGGGAACTCGACTGCATAATTCATGGTAGTGGGGAACTGTATTCATTCTCTTCCCTCTCTGTGCCACCACACCAAAAAACAACAAAACAACCCAAAAACAAAAGAGAGAGGGGAGAAGAGGGAAAGGAAAAAAGAAAGAGGAAAGAGAAAGAAATGGATACTTTCTCTGAAGCAGATAAGGAGAAACCAATAATCTAATCTAGTAACCTATATGTAGCAGAAAGAACAGAGAATTGAACCCTTGTGGAGCACACTATAATAATCAGCTGATCTGTTTAATGGCACAGGCAATTTCTGCTTTGCATTTGATCAACTTATTCAATTCTGCCTCAAATACTTACAATTACTTTTGGCTTCCTCATTCATATGCTCAGTCCTTTGTGCCCTCTATAATTATGAATTTCAGGAAGGTATTTTGTTACAAAAGGTTAGAATCACTTGTATTGCTTTATCTTGGCAAGCAGAATAGTAATCAATATTCTATGTCTTTATTTGAACAATCATTAGTAATAATTCTGAACATTCTCACCAGTACTCTAAATGAGGAAAAAATTTAGTCCTATGTATTAGAGGAGGAATAAATCCTTTCAGTAGTGTCCTGAATGATGACTATCAAAAATGGCTATGTCAGGGGCGCTTGGGTGGCTTAGTCGGTTGAGTGTCCGACTTTCGCTTGGGTCGTGATCTCGCGGTTCGTGGTTTCGAGCCCCGCGTCGGGCTCTGTGCTGACTGCCAGCTCAGAGCCTGGAGCCTATTTCAGAGTCTGTATCTCCCTCTCTCTCTGACCCTCCCCTGCTCATGCTGTCTCTCTCTGTCTCTCCTAGAAATAAATAAAAAATATTTAAAAAAAAATGGCTATGTCAAAGTGATCATATTTACCTGATGACCCAAACTTATTGCTTAATAAGAACTTTAAGAGATTAGTTGCATCAAAATACACCATTCTCTAAATTGAACATCTAGAAAATGAAATTATGCTCCATTGCAACAAAATTGGACAAAGTTTCCATGTATACATATGACTATAGAATCTGGAAATTTCCCCAAATAATCACAAGGAAAAAAACTAGATGCCCTTAGAAACAAGGTCCTGAAAATGATCACATCAATTGGGACTGAAAATTTCTTAACCACCTAAAAAATCCAAGAAATCATTTGGCCAACAATCAATTTCTACCAGAATAAAAGTATAGCACTTGGAAAAATTTAAACATAGGTATTTTAATTAATAAAACCTTTTTAAGTAAGCTCTATGCCCAACATGCGGCTTGAACTCAATCCTAAGATCAAGTCACATGCTCTTCTGAGCCATCCAGGTGTTCCTAAGCATATATATTTTAAACAGCATCAACTGGATTTCTGCATAAAGCTTTCTGTAAACTAAATTAAATCCAGTGCTAAGGGATACACAAGAAACACTAAGATTGGCTCTTTTTTAAGAGAACAGACTTCTATGTATCCATTACGTGGGACAGACAGAAAGACAAATTTATAACAATGGGATAAACTTAGCTGCCCTTAGTAGAATAAGACTCAAAGTAAAATATGATGGCTTAGTGAGAAGGGAGAAAATCATAACAGAAACATCTTTATGAAGATGATCTTATATAACTCTAACAGAAAATATGAGACTATGACATTTAATGAAAATGTGTTTCAAACAGAACAGTTTGAACCACCAATGGTATCGCTGACTGACTGTACTTTGTATGTATCTCTATGAAAACACAAATTCACCCTATGTCATAATTTGGAGCACTTGGCAGTCATAAATTATCTTCCTCTCCTGTTTTGTTTGTTTGTTTCTTTTAAAATTTCCTGGACTTAGCACGGTGTAGAGATGTGTAGTAGGTGTTCAATCTTGGAAATGCTTTGTGTTTTAAAGTAATGTGATTCTATGACTTAAGACTGCACTATTTCTACATATATTCATTATCACTGGGTTGTCTAATAGGCATATGACTTACTCTGCTTGAGCCACAATACCCTGCATTAGTTCAGTCTAGACCAATTATTCTAACCTCCAACTTGGACTTTTAACTCTGCCAGATGCTATTTGACAGTAGATTCTCCAATACTGAAAATCTTGCCAAGCATACATTATGTAGTTGTATAATTATAGCTTTCTAGTACTCAGTATGGTATTATTAGCTCAAGCTGTAGCTCATTTAGTGTACATAATTACAGCACACTCAGCAATCAGCACTGACCTACAAAAGGGGTGGTGGTGGTTTCTGGTGCTTTTTTTTTTTTTTTTTAATCTACTTCAATTAACAGTATATGTAGTTATTACTAAAACTCCAAATTTTGAGAAAGTTTGATATTCACACTACACTTTCATGTACCCCTGGAATATCTAACATCATACTGATATGTTAGAACTATTATTTCTGCTAATGGTTATTGACTATTATTTGAATAACACTTCAGGTTTTTTTTTTTCTTTCCTCTGGTGGGTGCTTGGTGGCAAAAGAACAAGGGATAAAATGGCTTAAAAAAGGACAAGTCTTAAAGAAATGTTCTGCTGGAGAGTTATCCTTAGTTACATTTTTATGATGCCGTAGGGCATATTCACACCTCAGGAAATGACACTTTGTTGTCATCATCACATTTACATATTTCACAACTTCAAATACCCCTCTTTTTTTTTTAAAAATAATATTCTTATTTATTTCTAGGCGCGAGAGAGAGAGAGACAGCGTGAGCAGGGGAGGGTCAGAGAGAGAGGGAGACACAGACTCTGAAACATGCTCCAGGCTCTGAGCTGGCAGTCAGCACAGAGCCCGACGCGGGGCTCGAACCCACCAACCGTGAGATCATGACCTAAGCGAAAGTCGGACGCTTAACCGACTAAGCCACCCAGGCGCCCCTCAAATACCCCTCTTTAAGAGGCACAGGCATTAGCCCTTAAGCACATGGTAGTCCGAGTGTGTTCTCATAGGATTTGGGATTGCTCTGGACATTAGGTATTAAGTCTTAGAGGAACTTGGGAGGGGCTCCAGTTGCTTGGGCATTTCCGCTCTGACTAGCTTCACATCTTATTGCTCCTCTGTCACTGTTAGGCATCTCAGCTGAGCTGCTTTTCCTTTGCCTACATGCTCCTGTAAGGTTTACTTGCATTACAGGAAAGGATAAAAACGTAACCCCAACATATGGCACTTAACTGAAACCCACAATATCAATAATTAAAAGAACTTAATATTTAAAAAAGATGTCCTGAAGACTATTCTTTTACCTTTCCTTCACTGAATTGTCATGAGTAACAAGGGCTAATGCTTTTGCACATTATTTCACGCCTGTAATTCTGTGTGAACGTTAAGAAGAAATCGCTTTAAGTGTGCAGTACATTTTCCATTTTATTCAAGTACTCAAATTCAAAGAAACTGATTTTTAAGGAAGAAGCTTCAGTTTTCAAGCTAGTCATAATTTACATTTTAATTGTAATATTAAATATCTGAAGGTGAAAGCCATGGCTGCCTCAATTTTTATGACCTCTTTCCATTTCCAAATACACATAAAAGTAATTTTCACTTATGTGGTTGAAAGTGCTAATGTAGACAGGAAAATTGATTTTAATTCTATAAAAATCTTTTTGGTATTATGTAAAAAGATTCTTAATACCATAATCAGTTAAATAAAGGGTCTTTATTTTATGTGGGCATTTTTCAGACTGTGGCTTGACCAATAACACACACACACACACACGCGCACGCGTGCACACACACACACACACACACACACAGTATTCTTTATACTAAACCATGTTATAATATGGTTCCACTTAAAACATCTTGACATTTCTCTTATACTGGTCTTGTTATCATTATAGAACTGAATGACTATTATGAAACTCAGTGATAGGCTACATTAAAAAAATGAGCCTCTGTTGATAAGTGTCAATAAAGTACAGATATGTTAGTGCTGTTTGATATCATTTGGCCTAGCACTGTTGTTTATAAAGTTTCATGACATCAATCTGACATGAAATATTCATGCTGTCTCCAAAGGTAAAGTCTGATGTCGTCATCGTCACGTCATCATCATCACCATCATCAGAGAGATTGCCAAAAGGAAAATCAACTCATAATTAGCAGAAAGAATTACTCTTACATTGTTCACGTACACGCACACTATATAGTGCCTAATGATTAAAGCCTACCATCTTGAAATGTTTAATAAGAATACATGAGTTCAACATATCAGCTGAAATTTATTAGAAATATTTGACAGGAAATATGTTAGATGCAAAGAATGGTTTTTAAAGTTAATAAAAAGAAGAAGGGAGAGAGGGAGGAAGGAAAGGCAATGCTTGCCCTCCAAAAACTTATTTCTACTTGGAAAGAAGGTATTGCTATTTAACACTTTGTTTAGCCTCTATAAACATTTCTATATTATACTTGTCTCTGCCATTAAATGAAAAACTCTTCAAAGACAGAAATCTTATCTCTCTCAAAATAAACAAGTAAACCTTAAAATAATAATAATAATAGGGGCACCTGGGTGGCACTGTTGGTTAAGCATTCAACTTTGGCTCAGGTCATGATCTCAAGGTGGTGGGTCGTGGGCCCAAGCCCCTGCTTTGGGTGAGCCAGAACCCACCTGGGGTATCTACTCTATATCCCTCTCTCTCTGTCCTTCATGGGATTCTCTCTCTCTCTCTCTCCCTACCCCTCACTCATTCACACTCTTCTCAAAGAAAGAAAGAAAAAAAGAAAGATAGATAAGACCAGAGAATTAAAAAAAAAAAAGACTGCTTTCATTGTCTTCATTCATAATTGAAGGAAATCTGAATTTAATTAGAGATATAAATTAAAATACAAATGTCATTTTTTCCCCCTGTCTAGGTTCATACACCCCTGAAATGTAGGCATAATTACCCTTGGCTCATGCCTTCCTTTCACCCATCCTGTGTAAGGACTATAAGAACCCGGTACTAGACTCATTCTGTGCCATTCAAAAGAGCAGAACAAGGCTCAGGGGGTTCATGTTATAAGAAAGACAGATTTTTACCTGAAACTAATGTAACACTGTATGTTAACTACACTGGAATTTTAAAA